CAGGTGCTGGACAAAGGGGTGTTGGTCAAATAATAGTCCATCACAAGTGAAGAAGTTAAGCGTTGAAATTATAAAATAAAGGTGATGACGGGAACTGGGCAGGTGCTCACACCTGGGCAATATTAGGTAGGAATAGGTGTGAAAAAACTCCAACTGGATTCACCCCCCAAAATGTCAGAGCAGAGAAGATTACATGTAGCACACAAAATTTACAACCAAAGCAATGCACTACATATATTTGTAATGAGAATACAAAAAAAAAAAAAATGTATTTTACATTTACTAAAAATGGTATATGTACATACTGACCTGCTCCAACATCAGCCAGACTTTAACACTTACAATATGCAATAAATTGTAAAGTTTTCCAATAACACCTGAAGAACTGAGGTACTGTATATAAAAAAAACTGTCCAGTGTTCAGTTGTACATTATAAAAAAAAATATACACAAGTAGCCAAATAAAAATACATAAAAGTTAAACTCGCACGAGATAATTATAACTTCAGTGAAGGTATGGATCTGTGTAAAGTACCTGATACACTGTAGAGAAAAATTTAAAAATTTTAGTGATGGAAGCCTATGATTAGAATAAAAGAATGATTTATTAAATTTTTAAAAGAAGGGCAATGTATATGTACTAGTATATAAAGCCGAGATAGTGAAGTATAAAAGTTACTGGAAATATTATCAAAGATACACAAATAACCCGCACATAAAAGACAGAAGCTTATGACGACGTTTCGGTCCGACTTGGACCATTGACAAAGTCACACTGTGCCTTTTTGTTATTTATTAAATATTATCAAAGGTTTTAAAAAGCAGAAATTAGATAAATACAGGTCCACCATCACAAATCCGGCATCACTGGGACCTGTAATATGCCGGATTATTGAGTTTGCCAGATTACAGAGTGGTTAGGTTAGAATACACTTGATAAAGTTAACCAACTTGACTTACACAAGAAAGTTCACTGAACATTGGCAAAAATCAAACATTTCCGCTACTTTCAATTTCAAGGTACAGTACTTTTCGTCGTGAAACCAATCAAAATCATATCTATTACTAAAATATATCTTATCTCTTATCTTCCATTCTATCAAATGAGACCAAAAAAACGAGAATACAACCATAAAAACCATACAAAAATATACCGCTAAGGGGCGGCTAATGTCTGAGAAGTGAACTCCGTTATTTATCATCCGATTTTTTTTCATTTTTTTGTGTACATTAAGAAGTATCTTTCCATCATACATTGCCCAAGTTTCAATAAGATAGCCCAACAAACAACCGAGAAAAAAAAATTATTTACCAAAAATCATATATGGCAAGCCCAAGCCAGGTACTAGAAATAAGTCACTTTGTCTAACTTTCATGGGTTATCCAAGGTTCTCTACACATATGCTGCTATGTATGATAATCTATGTAGAGAAAATAGCTTTTTTGTTTCAGTTTTATGGTGCACTATGAGTGTATATCACAGTTAGCTCTGTGCTATACCCTATTCTCTCTAATATAAGCCCCCAAGACAGGGATAGGAGAATGGTACTTGTATCCCACATCCTCTTCATACCTCCACCGAACTGCTCGGTATTATGCCAAATATTATTCATTCTGGAGTATTTAACATGTTTTTATGTTATTTATATTGTTTATTATGTCATATTAGATCAACTGTAATAGGCAAATAAGCCGTAGTGTTGATATTAGTGTAATAATATAAGCATATTCCCCTGCATCACGAGACTGAGCTCATGGCAACCGACAGTGGCATCGAAGCCACACCTTTTCTTTTATGGACAATTTACTGTGTATGTGCTTTACACAATGAGAAGCGTTTCTTTTATTTGTTGGAACCATGGCTAGGGCTAAAAGTAAGCAGGTTATAACAATAAATGAAGAAAAAGAAATTGGAATGACTTGTGCAGTAAGGAGGAGATCAAGCAGACTTGAATAACTATAGGACAATATCCAACTTACACCCTCTCTCTAAAATCTTTGAAAAATTAATTCATAAGCGAATCTATTCCTACCTCATCTCCCACAACATACTCAACCCCTGCCAGTTTGGGTTCAGGCCTAATAAAAATATGAATGATGTTATTATACACATGCTAGAACAAATATACACTGCACTCGAGAAAAAAGAAGTCCCACTGGGGATCTTCATTGATTTACGTAAAGCTTTTGATACAGTTGACCATGATTTGTTGCACATAAAATTATCTCACTATGGTATAAGAGGGCACTCACTCAACTACCTAAAGTCATACCTTAGCAACAGAAGCCAATATGTGTACACAAATGGACCAAACTCTTCCACACAGTCAATTACAGTTGGTGTCCCACAGGGAAGTGTCCTTGGCCCTCTTCTCCTTCTCATTTACATAAACGACCTACGAAATGCATAGCAACTACTCGAACCCACACTATTTGCAGATGACACTACATACGTCTTCTCTCACCCAAGCCCAGTTATACTAGCCAATACTGTAAATACCGAATTACAGAAAATATCTACCTGGATGATGATCAACAAACTTACTCTCAATACTGACAAACCCTACTTTATTCAGTTTGGAAACAGAACTACAGATGTTCCACTTAACATAATGATAAACAGATCACCTATCACAAAGCTCACAGAAGGAAAATTCTTAGGAATCCACCTTGATAATACACTCAAATTTCAAACACAAGTATAACAAATTCCCAAGAAAATCTCCAAGACCGTAGGCATACTATGTTCCACAATCAACCCTCCTGGCCCTATATCACTCACTCATTTACCCATATCTCACCTATGGAATTTGTGCATGGGGCTCAACAACAATAAATCATATCACACCATTAATTACCCAGCAAAAGGCTGCACTCAGAATGATAACAAATTCCCACTCCAGGCAGCATACTCCACCAATATCTTCTCTAAACTTACTCACCGTACAAAACATCCATACTTATTATTGTGCCTACTACATACATAGAATGCTAAACTCGGATATAAACTCTCCCCTCAAACTTCTCCTTACCAACCTCAACAGAACACATGACCATAACACAAGGCACAGATCACTCTTTGATGATCCCCGTGTCCATCTCACACTGTAAAAACTTAATGCACATAAAAGGCCCAAAAATCTGGAATTCATTACCTGTGAATATAAAAGAAATACTAATGTATGTTTATCAATTCAAGACTCTTCTTAAAAACCACTTACTCACCTACAACTAAATAAATATTGAATAACTGTATCTCTTAAATGTATAACCTGTGACCCTATCAAACTATGTTTTTTTTTTTAATTACATTACCTAACTGAATACTCCATTCTCTTGAATGCACAGTAACTCATCAAATGATCATATGACCTGTTTCTGCACTACAAATCATTGATTTTATTCGATTTGATCGGATTATATTATATATTGTTATGCTACAAATTTGTACAACTTTAATGCTTCTTATTTGAAATACTCATTTGTACTTCATGTTGTAATTTGTTTACTGTAATTTTTACCACTGAATATATCATTGCTTATTTAATCTTAAGTTAATTTTAAGCCTGCCCATAATGCTCTGCATACAAGGGGCTTTTGGCATGTACAGTGGAACCTCAAATATCGAACCTAATCTGTTCCAGGACTTAGTTCTAAATTCGAAAAGTCTGAAAAGCGAAGCAATATTTCCCATAAGAAATAATGGAAATAGAATTAATCCATTCCAGAAATCCAAAAATATTCACAAAAAAAAAAATTATAGAGATTAATTATAGTTTTACATACAACAAATATAGTGTTCAATTATGTTGGGATTACCAACAGACCCCTGGCAGTCTTCAAGCTGGCACTGGACAAGCACCTAAAGTCAGTTCCGGATCAGCCGGGCTGTGGCTCGTACGTTGGTTTGCGTGCAGCCAGCAGCAACAGCCTGGTTGATCAGGCTCTGATCCACCAGGAGGCCTGGTCACAGACCGGGCCGCGGGGGCGTTGACCCCCGGAACTCTCTCCAGGTAAACTCCAGGTATAAAATAACATTTTACTTACCTTTATTGAAGATTGGTGATGGCATCTGGAAGATAGGGAGGAGGAGAGAGGGAGTTAGGGTTAGTGTTTGGAAGGAGAATCCCCCTCCATGAGGACTTCAGATATCAAAGCCCTCTCTGGGGTTACTTCCCTTCTCTGTCTTTTGATGCCACTAGGACCAGTTTGAGTCACTCGACCCTTGTCTCGCAAAATAACTGTCCACAGTCCTCTGTTTCTGGTGCCTCTTTAAGATTTCCCTAAAATGGGACATGGTTCTGTCACTGAACTTGTTGCAAAAATGGCTTGTTTCAGCTTGCTCAGGGTGATACTTCTCCACAAACATTTGGACATCATTCCACTTCTGTTTTATTACCTTCTTCACATCTATGGTGTTTCTCACTTTCTTTACCACAGGGGTACCACTAGCAAGTTTCTTTGGGCCCACTGTAGCTTATTTCACAGTCCCACAAGCCCTAAACACAATGAAATAAAATGTTTGAATGAGAGCGCAGGTTAGTGTTCTCTCAAGCATCAACAAAACCAGACTGGCTCACGGTGCCTGCGTGAGGATACGGACAGAACGGGCTGCCGGACAGGTCCGGTACCCGATGATTCGAAAATAGGGGCGAGTTCGATAATAGGGACAAAGTTAGTTCGAAAAAAACATTCTATTTTCGACGAGTTCGATAAGTGATACGCTCGAAATTTGAGGTTTCACTATACACCCAATCACTATATTTCTTTGTACAACTATGTATTATGTCCAAATAAAAAATAAATAACTAAATAAAAAAATAAATAATAAATAAATAAAAATAAATAAGTAGCACCACCAAACAGTACCAACAGGTTTCTGTGGCAACCCTGGAAATTTGAAATTATGCTAGCCAAAATTAGTGCTGAATAACTGATGGAACCGAATGTTTGATTGCTAGATTTGTGTTGGCGGACCTGTATAAAATAAATTTACTCACCATAATTTGATAAGTAGTGATGCTGTAAAATAAGATTAAATGCTGCAAATATTTCACTGGAATATTTCAAACACCACTCGTATTTCTCAGGATTGCTTTCCGCTACCACCTGAAACATACACATTTAGAGATATTTAAAATGATTATCAACATCCTCTCTTTATATTCTCATGAATGATGTAGGAATTCATGATTACCAATTCCCTTTATATTTAGATTTTATATTACACTTAGACAACACTAAATGTAATACAGTACTATACATACCAAAATTCAAGAAAGGAGGGCCCCTGAAACTACCAACAAGTGTTCCTGATAAGCTCACTGTGCAATGTAATGGAAGATGAAAAGAAAAAGAAAAAAAAAAGAGATGGAACATTTAGAAAATGCAAAATTCCTTAAACAATATGGCTTTTAACTGGGAAGTCATGCCTGACAAACTTCAGAGAAATGGGAATTAAACAGAAGAGGTTGGGTGGACTGCATCTTCCCAGACTGTAAGAAAACCTGTGGTACAATATAACACCACACATAAGCCTTCTATAGTGCACAAACTTCCTTCAAGGAATGCCTTTATGTTGGTACAGCTATCTTGATCCAAATAACTGAAGCTACCTCTCCCTTCCAATGATCAAACCTCATTGCTACCCATTTTCCAGGCACTTTTAAGGGTTTAGTGATTCTCCATGAATCTAAGAGCAATACTGCACAAACTAGATACAAAAAACCAAGGTAACATACTGTACCAGTGTAGATTTTGGAATATAGCAATGCACCTAAACAACAGGAGACCAGGGTCACATTAGTGATGAGTTAGGATTAGTGAATGTAACTAGCAGTGTCTCCCAGAGATATGTGGAAGATTTCCATAATGTTCCTGGTGTATGTAAAATAATGTACCTGCAAAGAGGGGTGAACAATACATCATATTGTTTGTATATGTTAAAATATTGGATACAAATGGACGAACACAGCTGCAGGCTACAAGAGGATGTAGACATAGTGTAAATGGTTTAAAAAAACGACAAGTTGAAGAATGAGACACTTGTGCAACATTTGGGAATCTTTATTACTGAAACATTTCACCAGCCAGTGGCTTCATCAGTCCAAAATATAGAAAGGCATAAAATGAGGAGGAGCTAGAGGTAATCAGTCCCTCAACCTGGAGTCAATGTGTTTAGTCCCTCAATCTTGAGAAAAGTACAGCATATGCACAAGGTGGCTTATAGTATAACAAAGACAGGTTAGTTGAAGCAGCAGGAGGCAGAGCCTGTTACATCTTAACAATGAAATTGTTTTCTCATGATCCTAACAAAAATGCACTAATCAAGATTTAACAGACTGAGTCATATAGCATCAGATGTAGAGAGAGTTGCTCAATAGAAAAATAAGTTGAAAACCCCCAATGAAAATCAGTCAAAATTTTGAGGCTAACCTATACTACTACTACTACTACTACTACTACTACTACTACTAATAATAATAATAATAATAATAATAATAATAATAATCTTTATTTCTAAAAAGTACACGATACAAACTTAGCATATTGTATAGGAAGCCCCTGGTTATGCAGAGCATTTGGGGCAACAAATGTTAATCAGGTTCTACAGGCTGCGACCCACAACAGAAAACTAACATCCAGGTACCTACTTACTGCTTGGTAAACAAGGGCAGCAGGTGTGACGAGACATGTCCAACGTAAAATCGTACACATACAACCTAAGCAAAGCTTGTCTTTTACTCAGTCATATATAGATTAAACCCGGTTCCTGTGGGTCTAAAGCCACAGGCACTACCACTGAGCAACAGTTATTTAACATAAAACTGAGAGTATCACCTTCATGACATGTGTCACAGCCGGTTGTAGGGTGGACATAAGACCATCCTGAGCCACAACGTCAAATATCGAGGGACGTGTCCTCGCTGTGACGGTAATATGAGCCCCAAACTCAGCCATTGTTTTTGTTTGTTTGTTGGGTTTATCAGGGCCCCTGACGGCTTACACAGTATCGAACCCGACTTCCCGATGTTCGGTGATGATTTGTTTCCCAAAGCTGGGCGATGAAAGATAAAGGAAAAAAGAGTTCCTTTGTAAATAGAAATATAAACCTGAAGTTTCCAACTAGATCCGGTGGACCTCCTTGTCAAGCACCAGCAGTGTGAGGCCCACACCGCCACCTGAGTTCAGTAACCGGTTTCCCACCGAAAACCGTTTGAGAATTATCCTCAAAGTGAAAACATGGCTGAAAGTAAACCGATAAGAGAAAAGATTTCGTTCGGATTTTTAACCCGAAGGGTTAGCCACCCAGGATAACCCAAGAAAGTCAGTGCGTCATCGAGGACTGTCCTCAATCTTGTCCCCCAGGGTGCGACCCACACCAGTCGACTAACACCCAGGTACCTATTTGCTGCTAGGTGAACATGACAACAGGTGTAAGGAAAAGTGCCGAAATGTTTCCACCCGCCGGGAATCGATCCCGGGCCATCCGTGTGTGAAGCGGGAGATTTAGCCACCAGGCCACGGAGGTTACAGGACCGGGTGCCCCTCCTGTAATGTGCCCGGGGGACAAAATAGATGAGGACAAGCGTCCCAGAGAGAACGGGGGAAATTTATCACGGACACTCAGGCGAGAAAGACATCCGCACCCGACGAGCGCTGGCACAGAAGTCGCAGTTGTTGTCTACTGTTAGGGTGTTTAGGGCCACTTCTTATTCTTGTTGGGGTTGAAAGGGCCACTGACAGCTTACGCCGTATCTCTTCCTGCCTCCCGACATTCAGAAAAATGAGAAATTGCCCAAACATGTCGATGAATTTAATCGACTAGGCCTCATAATATCTTCCTCTTAAGCAAAGATATTAACAAGCAAACGACATCCCCCACCCATCTATTTGCAGGGTGAAATCATTAGCTACGTTAAAACTTACAGATATCTTGGTGTAGATGTACCCTTTAACAAATCCACTATACCACAACTAAACAAGAAATGTAAAGCTAGGCTAAATGCTCTCAAAGCTGTTGCTGGCTACAGTCCCAACTATGGTGCTAATGTGAGAATCGTGAGAATGATGTACATAGCCTATGTTAGGTCCTTAATTGATTATGCTGCTCCCATGTTGATATTAGCTAGAGAAAGTCCTCTCCGACCCTTGGAGTTAATGCAAAATGAAGCTCTCAGGATTATTCTTGGCTGTCCCAGATCTACAAAAGTTCTTAACATGAGGAAGGAGCTTGGTATTTCTAGTATCAGTGATAGGATTGTTGAAATTAACACTGTACTCGGTATTAGAATGTTGAGAAACTAACCAGACACTGTCACAGTGAATCTTACCAAGTGTCTAGAGGTAAATACACACAGATCTAAATGGATTGTGAAAACGTGCAATTGCATCAAGTTTTATAACCTGCATGAAGTGTATCACTGTAGGCATGTTGTTGTTTGTTTAATATGTTTATTATGCACCCCATACCCATCCTGTGGGCGGTAGTCAAAAGATTACAGAGGTACATAATTGGTCCAGGGACTGGGCCTCAAAGTTTTGATAGCTGAGCAAGTTACAGAGGTAATGAATTCACAATTTACAAAGGTAATGAACTCACAATTTACAAAGGTAATGAACTCCAGGTAGGTCTACTCACAATCATGACAAGTTACAAAGGTATTTACAGATTACAAAGGTACACAATGGGTCCAGGGACCGGGCTCCAAAGTTTTGATGGCTGAACTAGGTACAAGGTAATGAACTCACAAGTTACAAAGGTAATGAACTCACAAGTTACAAAGGTAATGAATACTGTAAGAATGGTTACTTACGTTTATACATGGCTGCAATCATGAACAAATTTTAGAGTAATGAGCAATTCACACTTCCACTCCCGGTCACAACTGTAGTGAGTTATTGGTGCAAATGTTGATTGCTGAGTCTCTCTCTCTCTCACACACACACACACACACATACAAATTCATACACACACACACATAAACACACACACACACACACACACACACACACACACACACACACACACACACACACACACACACACACACACACACACACACACACACACAAACTCATACACACACACTGTAGGCAACAAGAGCATTTCACCCCTCCATGGAAGATGTGTTCATTTAATATCACATACCTACAAGTCCCTCCCAAGAAGCTCATTGCTAGTAATCCCTTCCTTAAATCTCTTGTTAGAGGCAACTGCTCAAAAGAAATTTTCCCCCA